GGTCGAGAGTTCGGTTCCCGGTACCGGAGAAAAAAAAAAAAAAAGAAAATATGGATTCACTGAGTTATGCAGATTTTATAAATGTTGACACATTTCATGGCACAATATAAAGAAATTATATTCATTAACATCATTACCAGCGTCATGAGGAAACCACTTTCATATTGGGAAGCTATAAAACATATATATGTAATCAAGTAGTTGAAACAGCATAAATTTTCCAAAATTTAATTTTGCCTACAAGTTTACAATTTGTCATCAGCAATAATCATTACATTAATTTTCTGTTGTGGTTTTATGACTTTAAATTTAACATTTTAAAGCAACACACATTTATGATCTCATAGTTTTCATGGATGAGGGACTCAGGGTTACAAGACTGCAGTCAGGTGTTTGCATATCTGCATTTGCCACATGCATCAATAAGGCCCGGTAACCACAGCTATACCCTATCATCCCCAATCTTTGTTCAGCCCTATTCTTGACAAACAAATCTCAACTCCCTGTACGTTCTCAAACCCAGTTCCTGGTGGGTACCCACAACTCCTCTGTGCTGAACTGTCACCACTCAAAAGTCCTACTATAATGTCTTCCTTTCACAGCCCCCTTTTTTATGCTCAAAATCCTATAAGAGACTTTTAGCCTGTAGGAGAGCTAGCTGATCTGCTCTCTCATACCACAGTATCCCCTTTTGTGTTTTCTCTTAGGTAAACCTGTCCTGTTGTGCTCAGGCCTCTATTTCTTTTCCTCCTTTTGTCCTAAAAATGCTTTGGTATTTTATTTTGTGAATATTGAACAGGCGTTTCAATATAAATAGGGAAAGAGGAGTAAAATTCCTGGATCTTTAGCAAGAACCAAAGCAGTGGCGCCAAAGTACTAGTAAATGATGCAGGAAGTTATTTCATCCACACCTGATTTATATCTCTTATAAGCAAGCCATATGGGAAGAGTTCAAGTTATTGGCATAATCCACTTGGCTATTACAGTCTAAGCATTTTCTGAAAGATTGTATCCCGGTAGACACATCCCCTTTTGAAGGCTATTCAATATGGTGGGGCAGCAACTTGTGGTGAGCAGAATCCTGGTGAATAGTGGTAGCTGGTTTAGCTAGACGCAGCAGCAAGATACTGATGGCAACAGAATGAGTGTGCTTAGGAACTCAAAGCGTGGTTCTGCAGGCCCAGAACCAAAGCCTGGTCAACCAAGACAGACATGTATGGTACATCCCCTGCACAACCCAGACCCTAAGTGTGCCATGCATGATGTTCAGACCATGATATGGCACTTTATCTCTCTCTTATCATAAAGTCAATTTGTACTACTTTTGCCAAGGCAAATCCAAGACTTAAAATCTCACAGGAATAAATCAGGAACAGAATCACATGTAGAAAAGAGTGCATAAATACTCAGTCACAGGGTCCACAGCAGAGTTCCAATTGATTTAACTATGGGTAAAAATTCATTCCAGGGTTTCCAAAGATGGTCCTTAAGGAAATTCCAAATTCCTTCCGTTAATCCATCAGATGACTCCTCTAACCTTGCTCTAGAAACTGGTTTCTATCACTAAGTAATCATCTTCCTCTTTTTGCCCCTAAAATAGAGTGTGTACATTTTATACAACCTCTTAGTCTGGATTTCCCCAAGTCAGAGCTGAAGACAAAGTCTTACAAGCAGTTAATTTCTTTGGGGTCAATCTTAGGAGAGGGAATATAGAATTAAGGGAAGTGAAACCAAGCAAAAGTAAAAATGAGTATATTACAAAAAATACATTACTACGGATGCTGTCACGAAGGGTAACAGGAACCTGATCTCCAGGTTCGTCTGAGACACAGAAACAATTGTGCCATAGAAGGATTTTCCCTGGGAATGAAATAGTCTTGTCTATCAGCTTATGTTCTCCATCAGCAAAGTGTAGCCACAGGTAATAACTATGCAGAACTTCAAGCCAAATGTCCTCAAGTGCATGGCAGACTCCCACAGGTAGTTCACACTATGACATCAGTGAGCCTTGCATCTAGAAAGGAAGTGCACGGTCATGGCAACATGTGGAAATGGTCCACACCGCCGTGATAGGGAGAAATATAAGATTCAAAAGATGTGGAAAGTGCCTAATACCATATACAAGCAGGCCCTAAGAAAGTCCCAGGACAATGAAGTTGGAAGAAAAGCAGCTGTTGTGCCAAGAGAAGAGAACCAGTAAAAGAGATAAACATACCAGAAGTTGTGGAAACACCCTCAGAAGCCAGTGGGTTTATCACCTCAGAAACTAAAGCCAGATAATTCGCCATACCCAACACTGTCAGTGAAGAAGTAAAGCTTCTTGAAAGGGCAGCAAGAGACTTAACACTCAGGCATTGAGCGTACCTGACCAAACAAACAGGAATATCAGGGTTAGGCTGAAGTTCGGTGTTCAAGCTGTTGATGGCAAAAAGGTTTTGTTGGGGTGAATGAGGAACCACTTAGGGAAGGGCATGGGAGAGCTCACCCAGCAATAGGAGACAGGAGATGAGAAAGGAATTGCTTCTATAACCAAGGTTCAGAATCAAGGGCGAATATCGGAAGAACCAAGAGTCCGACCTGAGAATGAGGTCAGTCAGTGTTTTAGAGAGGTAAGCAGTACCATTCACAAACAATCTAAGAATGCCCCTGGACGATGCTGTGTGGTGGAGGACGTAGGAGCAGGAAGCAGAGTCCTTGGGAGAGAAGACCCAGGTTAGGGCTAGATCTTCCTGTGTTCGGTGCTACTGAGAGGTAATTTTGGTGAGAACAGGAACTGCTACACAATCCCACAGGAGAGCTAACGTCGCATTAGAAACTACAGCTCAAGTATAGTAGTGGCCCTGGTACCATCCCAGAGTCAGAGAAAGTTATCTTTCTAAAATAGTACTTTTCTATCTTTTTTCTTTTCCACCCTTCTCTTATTCTTCCTCCTCCTCCTCAACTTCTTTTCCTTCCTCTTCTCCTCCTTCTCCTCTTCCATCTGTCTTCTCCTTTTCCTCCTTCTTTCCTTCATTTTCCTCCTCCTCCCCTTCCCCCGACTCTTGCTCCCTCTCACTCTCACTCTGTCTCTCTCTCTCACTCTCCCTCTTTCTGTCTCTCCCCATCTCTCTTTCTTTTATTTCTTCCTGATCATATCCCTGCATTTCTCTGTAGTTCATGTACCTCTAAATCTATTCATAAAAATACACATTGTCCATAACTAACCACATACTACAAGTGGACAGTGTGTGAGGATAAAGAACAACTATTGGTTTTGGGAAATTCATGGAGGAGCTTATGGTGGTGGCTGAGGTATCATGCATCAGGAGGACCCTCGGGGTGTCAGGTTCATGAAAGGTGACATGGCAGTAGGACAATAGGAAAAGCAAAGTTTGTATGTGTCTGACTTTTGAGGATGTTTAGATTTTCCAAAGCCCATACCTTTTGAGATATTATATACCGAGGGTGGGTTAGTGACCTCAGTTCATCCTTTTATGAGCAGAGAGACTGTCTGGTTTATGAATGGAAAGAACCAAAGCTCTATGGTCCCTGTGTCACTGTAGAAAAGACAGATACCATGAGTAACAGGGTCATCATGTGTGTGCCATTGTGACAGAAAGATCAAGTTAATCTTCATGGTCCAGTCCCACAGCATCTACTACCCCAATCCATATGATATCTTAAGGTCTCTTCCAAAATGAAGACAACTTATTTTCAAAGGGCACATCTTCCCAATTCATTTTTTTTTTTTTTTTTGCAGGCATGTAGTGACTGAGGGACTAAAAGCCAGAGGAGATGATTTATTCATTTTACACCACTCCCACAGCCTCCTAGAAGAACCAGAAATACTTACAGTTATCCTCACATACAATTCAAATATTAAGATACCCCATAGGGCATCATAGGACTAGTCAGGGCTAAAGATAAATCTTTGGCCAAGAAACATGACTTGCTGGTCTCAGAAGCCCAAGAATTTCCTGTTTTAATCCATTACTCCCCAAAGAAACCTGTTGACCATAGCAGCCACACCACAAAGGAAGCAGGCCTAGGTGAAATCATTGTTACACAGTGAGCATCAAAAACATGTTAAACCAGAGATTTTCATCACAAAAGCTGGAATGAAGACAAGGCAGTCAAAAAGGGAGTCTACTTCCTTAAGGCAGGGCTCGTTTTCTGTATAAAATGCAAGCTGCCCAGAGACTGTACAGGAGAGGCTTGAGAGCTTGGACTTCTCTGCCTACCAGGTGAGTCTCCCCACTAAGGACTTCTTAATGTTTTCTCATCATTACATTGATTGGGACCTCTTTGATGGCCAAAGGTATATTTATTTTAAATGCAATAGCAACTGTATACATTTCTTTGATTTTCCACTCAGTTTACAACTATGGAATTAGGGTTAGAAAAGAAGAATGATTCCTCTAAAGGTTTGTTAACTAGAAGCTACATCTACATCAAAGGAATTTTTACTGACATTTTAATTCCTTGTCTAATATGTATCGAAAATTTGTAATATGGAAAACACTACATTGGGAACTTGGATGTTCCAAAATAAGTTTTATTTTTCTCTATGAATGTATGACCATTAGAAGATGTATATACAGGCATAATGGCTGATACAGATGATGTAAAGTGGATGATAGGAAAGATAGGTAAGTGAGTCTGGCAGAGACCTGCAGGAGGAGAATTGCAACAGGCGAGCATTTGTGGATAAGCAGTGAGGCACTGCAGAACTCCTTAGAGCAGATAGTGTGACAGAGGCTCAAAGGGGGATTGTGTGGACTCAAGCAGAAGTCTATAGGAGTTTTCCTGTAAGAGCAAAGGCACATATAAGATAGACATGAGTAGGTAAACTACAGACCTTATGTTCTACCATTTTCCCAAATATTCAAAACCTAGGCCCTCACATCAACCACAGCAGCCTGCTGGGGCATTGAGCTGCTTGTGATGTGCATAGGTGTTTAGATGCACCAGGTGGGAAGGAAGAAAAAGAAGGGCCCCATTCACATGGCCCTGAGCAAATCACCTTTACCTTTTGTCTTGAAGTCTTGCATGGATCCTCAAAGCATCCTAACATTTCAAAGGTAAGAAAATAGAAAGAGAAAGAGGAAGAAAGAAAGAAAGAAAGAAAGAAAGAAAGAAAGAAAGAAAGAAAGAAAGAAAGAAAGGGAATCTTTCACTTCCGCAAGGACATACGATGAGAGACACTCTTCAATAAATTGAGATTCCGTCTTGCTCCTCCAAATGACTAATCTACTTTTCTGTCTCTAGGCCCAACATCCTTTGAAGCATGAGTTCCTACCAGCAGAAGCAGCCCTTTGTCCCACCCCCTCAGCCTCAAGAGGAGCAGGTGAAACAACCCTGCCAGCCTCCCCCTGAAGTGCCATTTGTTCCCATCACCAAGGAGCCACGCCATCCAGCTGTTGCACAACCTGGAACCACCAAGATCGCAGAGCCCTGCCTCACCACAGTTATTGAGCCAGGCTGCGGCACAGTCACTGCACCAGGATACACCGCGGTCCCTGAGTTGGGATGTACCACTGCTCCTCAGCCAGGATGCACCACTGTCCCTGCACCAGGATACACCGTGGTCCCTGAGTCGGGATGTACCACTGCTCCTCAGCCAGGATGCACCACTGTCCCTGCACCAGGATACACCGTGGTCCCTGAGTTGGGATGTACCACTGCTCCTCAGCCAGGATGCACCACTGCCCCTGCACCAGGCCATACTGTAGTCTCTGAGCCAGGATGCAATACTGTCCCTGCACCAGGATATGCTGTAGTCCCTGAGCTGGGATGCACCAGTGTCCCTCAGCCAGGATCCACTATGGTCATTGCACCAGGAAGTATCATAGTCCCTGAACAGAGCTATACCAAGGTCCCTGAGCCAGTCCCTTCAGTGGTTATTCCAAGCCCAGCTCAGCAGAAGAACAAGCTGAAATAATGGTGTCTACAGCCAGGGCCTTGAGAAGCTAGTGATCAATTGCTGAATATGTTCTTCCCTTCTGCTTCTGTTTTAGTAGTCAGTACACCTTGCAAACAATATAATGTCACCCTGGGTCAAGTTGTCTCCCTTGTTTGTCTTCTAAAAATACGTGCTAAGATGCCTCCCTTTACACACACCGTGAGCAGCCTTCCGAGCCTGAGTTAAGCAGAAGGTTTTAGTGCCATGCTCATCTTCAGCTGCTCAGAATTCATTCTGAGTGGAATCTTTGATTAGAAGAAATGCTTGTTTCCTATACTTCCCCATTAAATTTCTAATTCTAACTTCACTCTTGGCTATGCATGTGATTGGCTGAATGTTTCTTGTTCTCATATGATGAGTCATAACTTATAGACAAAGAAGAGTTGTTATAGATATTATCTCTTTAATCCTAGCACCATGTACTTCTAAGGGGTTCTGGGGACATATTCAGGAAGATTGCTGTATAGTATTGAGGTCTTCTGCAGTGGTTCCGAGACTGTCACTTTGGGCAGCCACAGCACTGGACTGTCATACTTGAGTTCCATGGCACCTGTCACAAGTCACATCCCATCTTTGGTATCCTACCCACAAGTCTCCTGTCTATTGCACAAAAATTTAACATCTACATATATGAAGTTGGCAGGCTATTTTTCTTCATTTTTCCTTGAAGATACTCTAAAATATACAGAACTGCACATACTCACAAAGAGACACATTTGTAAATGGTCATACATCACATAATCATCCAGGAGGGCTCCACCTTTATTACAGCAGACAATATTATCTTTTACTGAGTAGCTGTTATTTGTATAGATGCCAGAAATTACCAGGAAGAGGACACAATGGACAATGCTTCCCCTTGGACAATCTGTGATCTTCTCCAGGTTATAGAACATTTATACTCTTCTTGTAAAAAACTGTGCACAACTAAACACACACACACACACACACTCACATATTACCCCTATTATGGTATTACCCATATTACCTCCCAAAATTACCCTCAGCACCATATATTTATAGTGTTATGGGGACGTATGTGATCAGTTAGAATGGCTAATAAAAAAAATAACAACTTCTGGCAAGGATGTGGAGAAGAGGGTACCCTTGGGCACTGTTAGTGGAAATATCAGTTAGTGCAGCCACTGTGGAGAATTATACGTATGTTTCTCAAAAATAAATAAATAAATAAAATCTGCCATGTGATCCAGCTCTCCTACCCTGGATGTATGAAGGAAATGAAATCAGAGCGTAAAACAAAGACTTGCATTCCCACAGTTATTGTGGCACTGTTAACAACAGCCAAGATATTTATTCAGCTGAGGAGTCCATCAAGAGATGACTGAATAAATAAAATATGGCATATACACACAATGGAATATTACTCAGCCATATAAAGAGTAAAACCTTGACTTTTGCAGCAAAATAGATGATGGAACTAGAGGACATCTTGTTGAGTGGAAGACAGTTTGTATCAGAAATGAGATTCATGAGACCAACTGAAACATAATAAAAGCATTTTGGGAGATTCAGTAAAGATGAGGGAGTAAGGGTTGATGATAATTTAGTGCCTGGAGTCTACTGAGTAATATAAATTAGCAGTTCATCTGTAATTCAGTACCAGAGGTAAAAGTTGCTAGAGCAATTTAGAAAATTTTATGGTCTATTTGTATTCTTATGCAAATTCACAGACTGAAATCCTAACCACCAGGTGCTTGTAATAGGATACAGGAAAATTGAGCACTAATTAGGTCATGAGGGTTGAGTCCTGATGAATAGAATTACTGCCTTTGTAAAAGTGCCCAAGAGAGTTCTCCTTTCCCTTATCATATATAATGAGTCAATGAGAAACAGCCACTTGTTTATGAAGCAGGAACCAAGCTCTCACCAGATAATGAATACTTTTGCCTTAATCTTGGATGTCCTGGTTTCTAGAACTGTGAGCAATAAAATCTACTACTTATAAGTCATCTAGTCTCTGATTTTACTGTAACAGTCTGAACTTACTAATACAGAAATGAATTTAGAAACTATTCACTAAGTGGATAGGGAAATGCAAAGTAATAAGAAACAACCTAAACATACAATTCCTTGGTTATTGTTGTATACAATGATAAAGAACTAAACCAAAATGCTAGAGAAGGTCCTGATGCTGCATCAAACTTGGATTTGGGCTGGTTTAGGTTACAATTACTAGGTCCAGGGATACTATCAAAGGGAAAATTTATGCTAAGACAACAAACTGTAAGTCCATGATTCTTGATTATTAAGAAAGCAGTCAAATTGGTGGGGAAACAAAACCAAGAAACAACAAAAACCAGGAGATATAGTGGTAAGAAATTGTCTTATTTTGTGGGTTCATATCATTAGCTTTCTCATGTGGTTTTTAGAGATGTTAAGAAAATTGGAATAATTCACAAAAGAATGGATAAATAGAAACCAGATAGTCAATACCCTAATTTCAGTAAGCTGGAAATCTTAAACAGTTATTGAGATATCCCATGAGTAAAGTAGACATTGATGAGTTCAAAACAAGGGTCATAATGCAGCACTGTCAAAATTGTTTGGGCCCATGGGAGCTCTATTGGTTCCCCAACAATGACTTGATATATTAGGTTAAACAAATGAGATTAAGCAAATGTATTGTATTTACCCTACTTTGAAGAAACTTAAAGTTCAGAAATCAAAAGTGACAATGAGAAACCTGACTTTGAATTACCAGAGGTAATGTTCTAGTAAAGAAATCATACGGATGGTGGACAGAGGAATCAAAATCCTTTGTCTCAACCCCTAGCTAACTTCTCTTAAACAGAAATACTGTAGAATTGGTCAGTAGTTAATGTGGTAGAACAGGATTTATTAAAGGAATATTGCAATAGGGGAAACAGACCTTACTAGGGAACCAAACTTGATTCCAAATATAGTAAAGTCATGTGGGGATATATAGCCAAGGAGCAAAATTAGAAGTAGCATCTCAACTTTTTTCCTGTTAATTATTACTGAAAACCATGTCTGTGAGGTGAGTGTCACAAAAGCAAATCCCAAAAAGTAAAGGCACATTTTATTTTATTTAGAGTGCTGCTGCTGCACAAATGAAGTAATGGACACCAAGCAATTCATTTTTATGGCATCTTTTCTTGTACATTTGTTGTTACCTTGAATTAATAATTTACATAATCTTAAATATCTAGTAAATATATTACTTGATTTGACTAGTAAATCCAGGTAGAATAAAACTGTATATGGTAACTCTCAATACATATCTACTTTTATTTAAAATAATGATGCCAATATAGGCCTATTTATCAAAGATCTACTCAAATCATATGAACTTGGATAATATTTGTTTCTTAAAAAATTAATTTCTATTTGTTTCTTGGATAATTAGTTTCTACATTTATGGGAGTTTTAGGAATAATTCAATGTATAAACATTTATTTCTAATCACTTGAAAAGGTGCTGCTCTGACATTTTATTACTTAAGTGAGTGACATCATCTGGAGGTAGAAAAAAAATCACAAATGCATAAATATGTATTTGAATGTACATAAACATACATATAAGTACAAGCAGAAAGAAGCCTTATAGCTTTCACTCTAAAATTTTTATCATGAGTCAGGTAAATGCCATATAGTACATACAGATGGTCCCCAACTTACAGTGGTTTGACTTATATTTTTTTCAACATTATGATGGTAGGAAAGCAGTGCACATTCAATAAAATCATACTTTGAATTTTGATCCTTTTTCAGGCCTAAGGAAATGCAGTGTGATATAAAATGCTACACAGTAGCAGACAGCTCCAATGTAAACACACAATGACAAGGGTAAACAACCCATATTCTGCAATGCCCTGTGTTTGTTAAGCTAGAATATTCAGCAGGTAAAGTGTATTAAATGCAATTTTGACTCACAATATTTTCACCTTACAATGGAATATATGAGGATTAACTCCATCACAGTTTGAGTAAAAGACAGAAAAAAATCATTAGTTATATCTAATTTATATTTTTATCTAAATAGTGTTTCTAGCAAATGGGAAAAACTGAGGTTACCTACTCAATAGGAACATTAAAATTTTTAACCAATATTAGTAGGGGAGATTTTTAAAACTTTCATTTTTCCAGTAGTTAATAGTTTCTTTGGGGTTCTTGAGTTCTTTGAAAGGCTCTGAGGTAGGGGTGGCAGTCTAACATGCGAAGGACTAGAGTGAGTTGAAGTCTGCAGTGGGAAAGGCAGGGTCTGGCAGGGCATATGAGCAATGGGGTGGGTGTGGCTTGCAGGACAGCCCCGCAAGGATTCAGGACAAAGGAGGGGAAGATTGAAGGGGGTGAAAGGATGAAGAAGAGCAGACATGAATGGGAAAGGAGAGATCTTAGATAAGATAGTTAGGACAGACCTTAAGTTTCTCAAAGAGGCCGGTGAAGTAAAATCATGCAACAAGAAAGAAAATGGACAGATTTGATAGGGTATATAGTCAGAAGGGTCCCAAGAAGGTGGATTTTAGTTGACTGAGAATTTCCTGTAAGAGCAGTAGAAGTGGACAGAAAAAAAGCAGCACCTTCACAAAAATTCAGGAAGCCCCAGAGTTCCTTTTCAGACAAAGATGTTTCAGAGAATACATTCATAGGCTAAAGATTCCGCATCTGTCCTCACTGCGCTTCCACGGACTCTCACCTGCAAAACTGGTACAGAGCTAGATGCCAGTGTGGGCAAGGGCTTCAAAGGGGCATTCGTGGGGTCCTAGGTTGAAGTTAAGGGCTCCAGTGATGAGTCTGATCCTATTCATGTCATGGTATCACATATTAGAGCTAGAGCTAGGTAAAAATGGTAAAAACAGGTTTTATGTAGATACTATTGCAACAGGTGGGACAGAAGCTCATAATGGAACTGGGCTCCATTCCAAATAGACTAAAAATGTCTAGAGATTTATGCCCAAGAAGCATAAGTGGGGATGGTATTTGTAGATGGAAGAAGCGACACCAGAGAAGAATAATTTTTTTCTAAAGCACTTTAGTGGGATTCTTGCTGAGAACCAGCCAAGGTGATTAGACATCAAGAGTGGACTATTAGGACTTTGAGTAGATGTCAAAGGTGATCGGATCTCAAGAGTGTGGAATTCTCTCTAAATTGACTTGTTAAACCAGCAAGCCCAGCTAAGATGAGGGCCCAGGCTGAGGTCACAGAGGAACTTGATTAATGTCTGATCAAAAAGAGTTAGTACTGTTTTCTACTGCTAATTACACGATGCCCACAGACAGGATGGTTTATAAAGCAAGGAGCTTTATGTTAGGCTTTGTTCTGGAA